TGCAAAAGTTTGGGAAATACGTAAATCAGATTATTTAATCCTTCAAGGTTAAATTCAAAGCATTTTGATTCGATGCACCCTAGGCAACGTATACTCATACGGCAAAAAAGTCTATTAATCGGCAGTTGACTTCTGAATTCAAACTACCAAGACCCCACCGCATTTCATATTCGAATAATTCCACAGTACTCACCTTTTTTCTACCTTTGTATCTGTCTGTCTCTTTTACATCTGTGAATCATTATTCTGTCCCCCCTCTCGACTTTTTGCCACTTTGGTGTTTCTCTTTCTGTGATGCACGAAGTCAACTAAAGGGCTAATGATACCTATCATAACGCCTGCCATTTGAAATAATAATAATACTATTAACACTTTAAATCCGCATTTTTATCATTTTAAATTGTTGCTGACGTGTGAATTCGAGTAGATATTTGATTATGACATTATTTCCGTTCGAAGCCTCATCCATTCCTAAATTGCATGCTTGTGATGCAATTGTTCAGACGCTTGATACCACACATCATAACACGAAGAGATCTACTCGTTGATTTCTTTATTACAGCGACAACTGTTTGAAAGTGTTTTGACCATAAAATTGCTGGTGGTGAAGTAATGACAATAACTTCAGGCTTATACAATTGATCCATATCCAATTATAATCCCTTTTGAAATCTTTTATCACTATCCAGCAGACCAATCCCCTGATACCGTTTAATTCTTAAGAACATATAAGAATCTTGTGGCACTATGAATTATGCAAACCACTCTGGGGAGATACTAGGTTCATCACAGAAATACTGGCTCATACTTTCAAATTTTTCATGCAAACCTGAGGGCCTTATTTTGAAGTTCGAATATTCAGACACCTTGGAAACTAGAGGCAAATTATTATGCAAAACGTGAACTAAAAATGAGACGGTGTGATTCATTTGTCCATAATAAGACTGTTGAAAAATTACATATTTGATTTTGAAATGAGCGTCAATTTTCAACTATCATTTACAGCTTCTTACAACTGTGACCTTCTAGAAGTTTCTTTTTAAACTACCACGTTTAGAGTGCTTTATCTCAAGTAACTCCACTTCTACGATCTTCTTGAGCGAATTGAAGTAAGACTGATTCAGTTTAGGCGTTTGTTTGCTGTAGTTTTGGCTGAAGTTTTAGGTGATAGTAAATAAGCCTAATAGTTGGGACGAGATGGGAAGGGAAAATTCGTTTTTTTAAAGAAACATCTCAAAGATAAAGTGAGAGACTTTAACATATTAATATTCCCTCCGGATTTAATAACTTTTTTGAATTTATATTTGCAAGCCCTTTGTTTGAACGCACATTTGAAATCGACTAATACCATTTTTAATTAAAACTTCTATTTATTTTAGAAGTGATAATTTACAATAATGTTGTTAGTGAAAGAGTGAAACTTCATGATTCTTGACTTAAATTAATTAAATTAAATGGTATTATTCAGTAGGCTTGAACGGATAATGCGCCCTACCTGTCGTAAACTTGAAGAATTTCCACAACAGCTTGGATTGCAATGATGTACTCATTATTGACCGCTGCTGATCTCGCAATGGAGATGGCTTCAGTAAAGCGCATTGGGCTATTACTCTGGTGAATTTGATTTGACAAGTCTATTCCGACGATCACATTAATGCTGGTTCTAAAGCGAAGTAAAGGTCTATTCAAGGAAGATTCGAAATTTGCATAAATAAAGTGCTCGTTTAACCAAATTTTGGATAGATATCTACCAGTCAATGCTTATAATATTGCTCAAATGGACAAAAACAGTCCGAACACAAAGTTTGTAAGCAATGTGGAAATGATTTCATTGAACTTCACGAAGTCCCTGTCTATTGATATACAACTAGTAGCCTTGTCATTTTTTGTCGTCAGTAGGTGCATTACACTCCAAGTTCCCACTTTAACTTAGTCTCCACCCAAAAACGGAATCGTAAGCGGCAGGCCATTCTAGATTAATAACATTGGCAGTTTTAGCTTATTTATGAAATTCACGTTTTGATAAAATTCTTGAAAAAATTAACGACGCCATAGAAACATTTTTACATGGTATGCAGGCGGTACTTTGGTCAAAGCATAAACGCAGACTATGTGCCTTATCAGGTTAATAAAATCCGTACATGATATTAAAATGACGCTTTGATAAAACCGGTAGCGTATACAACTCAAAAATCTTGTTTAATGATAAGCCTACACGCGGTGCACATATCGCATGGAGGCTATTTCAATATCTTTCCTCCCTTTATTTCAACTTACCCACTTAAAATATAATCCAAAAATGAGCACGCGTTTGAGGAGATGCTGACTTTAACGTTGACCTTAAAGAAACGAGGAAAAGTGGAATTAGAAAATGACCTTTTAAAATCATTAGTAAGCCTGAAATTTTTCATATTAGGAGACACGGCAAAGTACGTTTGTTACGTGTGTCCAACTTAAATACTTAAAAACATTAATTACTTTTACAAGAAACTAACTTAAGTCTAAGACACACTAAACAGCATGACGTTAAAACATGTTCAAACTTACAACGCCCGAGTTACTGTACACCTTTTTCCGGCGAAATTTTGAACGATTTATTAACTAAAATAGTGAAGTAATGCAAAAGAATGAGCATGCATATGATGCCAATGGTTTAAAGAGGAGTTACCTCAAAGTTCCTTCCTTCGTTTGTACAGGTCAATAGGAACCTGGCTGTTGTTATGAACTCGCCAATAACATCGCTAAAATGTTCACATTCATTCAACTTTATTCGTGTAACGATCTATTTGATCTCAAATATATGAGGATGTGTAAATAAATGAACAAATAAACACGACAAGCAAATTTCAAGGGCAGTAAAGCAACTTACTCTATATCAGGATCGACCGTGTCTCTACGATAAATGAAAGAGTAAACAGAACTTGAATGAACTTTCATATATATAATCAAGAGTATCAATATGGAAGTTCTTGTGAACATTCTTTTGAAGGGAGTTATCTGTGCACTTAGTTATCGAGTGAACATGCAATAGTAGAAATCATTCGGTCTGGCGACTGAAGCACTTTACTGCTATGTCCTAATCTGGGAGGTTAGACAGAGTCTAGACACAAGGTTGTCATTATGCCTCCAAATAGGGGTAACATTGATTAGGATCAATTCGTATTTACTAAAAATGAAAATTCAAAAAATTGTGGCCTTCTCGTTCATGTCCATTGTATATCAATAAAACATGGCAACCTAAGTGCGCATCTTGATTAACTACTTTATACAACCTAAATTTTGAACCCCATGTCTCCTTTTGAATAGCCACTTTGACCATTTCTATCTAACTCAAACAGGCATTCTAATTCATAATTAGGTGGTCTAATGTCGCATTAACGGTTCCCAGTGAAACAAATCTATTCTATTTACAGTTTTGTAATTGGTAGATTAAAAACAAATAGATAGACTTAACATTCTTTTCATTGCTCTTTGGGTGGAATTCAGGTCACGCATTTAATATGCTTACAATTAGGGAGCTTAGAATTTTGTAAGATCAATGATCGCACTTTCACGAGAACATTCGGAATTGGCTAACCGTCTTCCTCATCTATTCTTTTCGTAATTAGGTGCTCTGTGAATGATGGTAAAATGCATAAAGTTGCTGAGCTGCTAAATTGAAAATTACTCTAAAAATGAAAATTCTTACAAAGTGGTTTTTATAATTTGCAATTTAGTCTTGTAGTAATTGCTTTGCATTGCAAAAGTATGGCAGTGTTATTCATTGGGCTCATTTAGAAGGCACAAATCCTTTTGTTTCTTCTCTGCACGTCCTTTATGCTCTCAATTTTGTGCTTATACCAATCTTTACTTAGGCTTATCTCTGTAGAATTAACCAAAACTTCGTCAATAATCGTCGTTTACATTGACCACATCTTACTCTCTCAAACTGCTCTTGAGGCCAGTTATTCCTTGCTTTGCAATTTAACAGAAAATTAATTTAAACGTCTGCCTTGCTCTACTCTACCCTCAATAGGGTTTGCGATAGACTTACCTTCAGGTGGTGCACCCTGGGCAACGTATACTCGCACGGCAAAAAAGTCTACAAACCGGTAGTTGACTTCTGACTTCAAACTGCCATGACCCCACTCTATGCCATATTTGACTATTTCACAGTACTCACCTCACCTTTTTCTATCTTCATCTTTGAAAGACTCTTCAGTCCCCCCCCCTCCCTCTCGACTTTCCTTTACTTTGATGTTCCTTCCCCTCTGTGAAGCCAGAAGTTAACTAAAGGGATAATGATAACCGTCAAAACGCCCGCCATTTGATATAAATAATTACTCTACTCTCAATTTCGAGTTTATTCCAAGAGAAAACGAGGAGTAAATTGTTTCTTTGAGAGTGTAACTATTCCTTTCTTGGGCTTAACTATTAACGTTCAAACCTATTCTACATACCACGTAGATTAATCATAAATGGCAATTCTCTTTCAAAAAGAACTACACACGATTGACTAATGGTAGTTATTATTAAATTTTTTCATTCAACTTGATCGTTTCCTATAAGGGATAACGATAGATAAATCTTGTTGCATTGTAACAGTAAGCATGGTTATAAAACTAGAATGCGGACTCTAATTAATTTCAATCTGTTACAAGTAACAACGGGCTATGAATAGCAATCAACCATAGTTTTGAAACAGTTTGCGTACACGTATTAAAGTCCCCATGGAACATTTGCCCTAGTTAATGTTCACAGAACATTCTGAGACTCCCAATAAGAATGAGGCCTACCAAATGACTCCACGTAATAAGGATAAACGAACTCACCCTTCACCATTTGCTCCGTCCCAGTCAAAGCACCGGAAACATATTTCACTGTCAATTCAAGAACCACAGCGTAAAAATCATCATTCCATCGCGGTGAAACAAGTATACTCCCTAAAAAGATACCTGTCAAGATTTCCATCACAAAGTCTGTCAAGTGATATAAGTAGGGGTTTCCAGTCCGGAGCCAGCGTTTTTTTCACTACTTCGCTCTGATAGCACTGCTCCCATCTAAAAGTAATTTCAAAACCACGAAAGAAGTATGTCAACCTGAAGAAGTTCTTCATAACACTTTTTTGGACTCCTGCAGAGGAGGAAGCTAATTAAAATTTCACGTGGTTATGCTGCTCCTTCCTCATATTCTTGCAAACTCCGCCAAAACATCTAGAATGATATTCCCAAACTCAGGTCTCTAGCTCTATATTGCGCGATATTCAGTGAGCAAAATGGAAAGTATTCAACTGTTAAGAATAGGCCCAGATATCTGTTTCAAGTTAACGCAAGGTGCATGAATGTAAATAAGATGTGACTTTGTCTCCTGGCATGGAATCAAACGTGGGTAAAGGTTAGATTCTCAATGCCCTTTGGTTTATTAATTAGGTAGATTTGAATATTTTATACATTAACACGAGGCCAAATTAAGCTTGGAGGCGATTAAGTGTTCCTTTTAACGCATTATAAAGGGAAGAAGAATTCTCTTATTGACAACAGAATGAAGTGCATATAGGTCTTCTATCTTCCTTTAGATTTGAACTGTTCACAGTCTTCAATTCATACAAGTAATCATTTTACTTCAGCACAAATGCTCATTGTTTCAAGAGAACTATCAAAACTTATTATGTTTGGCGTCACCTTACAGATGCACAACAAATTCTAAGGGATATAAATGTACTAGCTGATGATAGCGGGTTTGTGGAGAGGGTACTTCGACCGTATCATAAGGAATTAAGTATTTCATCTACCCAATTAATCAACAATTTCATGAGCTGGTCGGGATTCCCTATCGCATATATTGTCTCGTTAATCCGTGCAGACGTACTCTTCAAGGAAACGACTTCGGAAAAAACCAATTCCACAGAGAATACCCAAACTTGGCTGACTTTTGAAAACCTCCGTTCCAATCACTTAGCACTGCCGCCTGTTCTCCAAAAATTTGCAATTCCTTCTTCTACTTCCTCATTTTCTGCTAATTCCTTCCACCCTTCCTCCCCCCCTCCCACACAATCCCAAGTATATAAGGTCTAGCTCAACTCCAGGTCTTCTCAGTCGAGAAAGATAAATGCTACTCTTTAGCTTTTAGGGAGGCCATTAGTTTTGCGAGGAGGTGGAGTAAAGCCCATTTCGATCCGGCTCCTAAAGTATCTTAAGGGAGGAGATTAATGATACTTTAACGTCAAAGAGAGTTCACTGATCATGAGGTTCGGCAAGTTTCATCTTGGTAAACATTGAATTAACATCCGCCTGAATTAACGACAGCTCATAAATGATTAAAGGCGTCACATCTATGAAGAGGGAGGGAGAGAATGACACCTGAGGGAAGCTGAAAATTCCATAAAAGTGTATTTTTTATGATAAAATTTTAGCTAAACGTTTAAACCACAGGACATCTTTAACAATTTTGATCATTTTGGAGGTTTTACACAACCAGCTTTAAGAAAAGTCATAGAGCTAGCACTTGCCATAGAAATCAAGCTATTGCACAAAGTCATCTTCATGCCACTGAATAGAAATCGAACAGATCAAATCCAGTGTGCGTCAACAACTATCGCGTTAATTAATAAAAACCCCTTCCCCATTCCCCCCCCCCCCCTCCCCAATCTAGGCCTTCCTATGGAAGTGAAAAATATTTAAATACCATAAATAATTAAATTGCCTTTACACCTCATCTTTCCGATTGATTACGTAGAATCGTAAACAGTATTTCGGGTTCGACCTTCTTCTATCGTTAGTAGAACTGTGGCTAATTTTAAACTGCACAATTTTCAAAACTTATTCAGCACCAAGAACAAGGACATCTTGTCCTCAAACGCACCAACGGTAGTGTAATTTTAACGCGCTTACCATCTTTACATTCACTCTACTTAGTGCCCCAAATGTTGCTTATTAACAATTTTTGAAGATATTGGATATAGTCACTAATCTCTTTTTAATTATAATTCATGTGTTTTAGGCTGTTACTGGGCAAAATAAAATGGTAGCTTTCAAGTTTCGACTTCATCAATTAAAGAATCGAATAAGAACAATAAACTGATAATTTCGCTAAAATCGATCCAATTTTGTCTTACTATTCGCCACTCTTCGACGAATTTTGCCTAACCACTGAGAATTTATTTTTAAATTACCATAGATTTCAAATTGAAAATGCGATTTAGAGTCGGCAAAACGAGTTTCTATGATAAATCTTCCTTCTATAGTTGGAAAATGTTGCTTCCTCCTCTGTTCATGCTCAAATGTAATTTTTGATCTTCATTTCTTCCCCTTGCAAATTCATTGAATCAAGTTTGTGGGTTTATTTGAAATTTGACTCACAATCGAGTTCCCTATTTTCAATACGTGTCAGAAAGGATCTCCAAACCAATTGTGAAGTTATCGACCTCTTCTTGGGTATTTGGTGCAAAGGCAATTAAAGACTGCCATGCCAGCTTCTTGATCACAGGTTCTGTTTAGTGAAAATGCACAATTTTCTAGCATATGTCATTCTCTCTCTATTTCCCCTTTTATAGAAAATATTAATGATCAATTTATTGGATTTTGAAAGTTACTCATTGCTCTATTCACGTCGGACCTGCAAGACTACTAAAATTTGAAAATGCAGTAGCTTCAACGTGCCTCATGAGGGAAATAACAAGCTATTTTTATTATTTTATTTAAATAACATATACTTTAAGAAGACAAAAAACCGACTGCTTGATTCCTTGCCAAACTGAGTAATATATGCATCTTTAACACAATGTTAAAATATACATGAGGAACTATTGAAGAGTAGAAAGATTACTTGCAGACATCCTACACAGAAAGTGGTGATACTGAATCTGTCGAAGCCTTCGCTTCGTAAAAAGAATGATATATATATTAGGATGTGGACTTACTTTCCACGTTCATTTCTCCTGAGAATAATAATGTAAGGATCTGATTTTCCAAACATATCCTTTTTGTCCAATCCGACACCTTGCATCTTCAGAACAATGTTTTGCTGAAAATTACAAATGAATGCAAAATTCATTACACAAAACAAGTTCAATTTTCAATATTTCTTAACCAAATACAGACGAAAACTCTCTTCTCCTACATCCTCTCCCCCTTCCGTCCCCCTCGCCATCTCCTTAGTACCAAATTTCAAATTTCCCTCCTTTTGTAGCCCATTGGTCTTGTCTAATTAGCACAAAGGAGAAGTATTTATTTCAACTTCTTACCTACAGCAACAACTGCTAGCAATAATTAGCTGATGGGCGTAACCAGGGAAGTCAAAAATATTACTTCATAATAATAATAATAAAATAAGGATAGATTTAAATTATTAGCTTACCTTTATTGAAGGTTCTTCTCGAATGCAAACTAGGGTATCAAGAAACAAGAGTTAAATTCGAATGGTAAGTAGACAACTGATAAAAGCACAAAATTAGTTTGTGATTACTATTACTACTAGTATGTTATTTCCAACAATTTGTTTCAAAAGTATTTGAAATATTTTGGGCAAACAATTTTCTCGTTCATTTTGAACTAGATTTCTAGCGAAATTTGAATGTCGATGTTCAGGGCTCTGCACAAAACCATATGTGATAATCTTTTAATGAGCATCAGTATATATTAACTTAGAAATAAATACGAATGGATGGCATTATTTTATAAATTCGTTTGAGTAGTGTAAATAATTATAAAATAGAGGAAAACAAATAAAGATCCAAAAATCTGGTTTGACATCTTAACGAAGCATTGGCAGGTTGTTTAAACATATAGACAGACAACTATTTCTAGCTTCACTTTGCCTTGCTCTGTTATCTAAATCTGAAAATACTTTTTCAACTTTGCTGGTCTCAAAGAAACTTATTAGGGAAACGAATCATTTCTTTCCGCAGTGAGATTAGCAACAATTGCTTTAAAACCTTCCACTTATAACTTGGACTGAATTTACTTACGTATCATTGATCCGTTGAAGGGTTCAGACTCCCCAGTTGCACCTTGGGGAATTCTAAAAGAAAGGAAAACAAAAAATTCATTGACAAAATTTATACTGTCTTTGAAATGTGTGAATTTTATTTAATCGAATTATTTTGAATTGCCCTGAGGTATATGTAAAAATATAATCTAATCTATGTTGACGCCTAGAAATGACATAGGGACCAACAACTGTCTACCACATAGCAAATATTATAATTAAATTTTGCTTAATTTCATGGAGAGGATGAATCAGAGAATGTCAAAAGCTGGGAATGAAATGCTTTTGTCCAATCGCCATAATTATCAGTCTTGGAAAGCTTACAAACTTAATTAAGCATTCCCTAAATGGATTCTAAATTCAAATAGGAAATGTCCAGTTACGAAGAATTCTCAAGGTTCTTTAACTTGCGTGGGTTTGTTTGCAAAAGTGACACCCTGAAGTGTCAACGATGAGGAACTCGCATTTGGTTACCTCCCTCCAAAAATTAATTATTAATTGGTACAATTGAATTTGTCATCCATTAAACGTCAACCTATTTGTACCAAACGACACACAACGCTACGACGATGTAACAATGACATAAGATGAGTTCTTGGAAGCCACTTAAGTGTCTTTCTTCAATCTTTGGAAAACTTGATAAATACCGGGGTTATATCAAATAGATTTCGAGCATTTTTGAACCGCAAACGAATGATTGTTTCATCATTGAGCGTAACGAATGGAAAATTAGAGTTGGAGTAAACGTTTGCCAAAGTCGGTTCCACAAGAACGCATCAGCCATGCATTCGTAGTTAACGCGACGCAAAATTTCACTTATGAATGAGACGCTTATTGCAGGGTTTACTCCAAAGAAATTGAGAGCATAAGCTTACAAAAGAACCCACCTTAAAGGAACTTCCTCTTCACCTCCACTGTGAATTGTTCTTCCGACTAAAATTTCTGTGCTGCCTAACAGGGATGAATCCTAGGTGAAAATTTAAATGGAAAATCACATAAATTTTTTTAAAAATAAAATTAATGTTTAATTGACAAGTAAGAATAAATTCCAACGTGAAAATTTTTATTTTCCTAATTTAAAAGGGTGGGATAATTGGAAAATACAGCCAAACTTTTTATTAATTAATGTACTAGTTCTTTTGTTTTGTTATTTACTCTTTCCTAATTGAAAAAAACTTCTGACATGGAAAGTAGAATGAGCAATCTACAGTGTTCTACCGTCAATAAATATTTCGGATATAAGAAAGTAGAAAAATCAGTATGCCCGCAACTAAAAATAATGCCCAGAATTCATAGTTTCCCACCCTCTTTACATCATCCCCTCTACACTGTAGCTCTTATTGAACCATCTTGATGCTTCACGAAATCAGGTTCTTTTCCTAGTAATATTTTACAAAACCTTATACTATGATTTACCTAATATTGCATTCTCAACGTGGCAACAATCCATTTAGCGCATTTATTGAAATGGCTCTCTTATTAAACTACAATTTCACGAAAATGTAATTATCTTTTCTCAAAATAAGATGTTCAGCGAAATTTTCTATTCGTATTCACCACTGAGATGGGATTTATCTAACAGCAATTTCAAAGCTTAAGACAATTGTCACTATGTTGATTTCCGGCACTAAGTGCTGTGTTTTAGCCACTTCACCTACAGAATACAATGTTGAAATTCTGGTTAGTGAAAGTAAAAGGCAAACTGTAGTATATGCATACATAAACTAGAACCGTATATTTCCGATTTTTCTCTCGTCGCGTCACTTAAAAGATAGCAAAGAGGTGTAATTCCATCTGAATAGCAGTCATGCACATTAAAACAAATTATTTGAAAATTAAATAAGTTGCTGATTAGTTACTGGGCAACATCAAATACATGAACTTAAAACAAGAAAGATAATCATCATATAAAATGAACACAATAGCCGTTGGATTAATCTTTTTTGTTTCATGGTTGGTTTCAATATTCGGGAACCTCCTATATATGGATTCCAACTCGTAATTATAACTAACAAATCCTCTGCAAGATTGTGAACAAAATTAGCGAGATAAGTTTCCGAATCACTTACCATCTTATTGCCTTTTGAGCATTGATATCTAAAATAAATATATTAAATAAATTTTAACTCTAAAATCTGTAGCAGTGCGGATAGTGACGTGAAACTTACAATTCAACTAAAATAGTCTGTTTTTCCTCAAAAATGTAGTCAATTGACATGTAGGACCTGAATTGTATGAAGGAAGAAACCGGCTGCAGTTCGGTTTCGAAACTCTGCATTTGGAATACAAAGCAGCATTATAACCTTCTTTTATCTTTCAAATGAACTATTCATAATATAAGCAAGAAGAAACCATGTAATGTATTATATATTTGGAGAGAGAATACCGATGCGATAAAACGATTGAGCAGGAAGTAGAACTAATAGATATGAGCATTTTCAGCAAGGTATGAAGAACATCAATAATTCTTTAAAAACTTACATTTCGAGATTGGAAATATCCACATGAGTTTAAAAATATTCTTGCAAAGCTGTATTTCGCATTTATTTTCACATCTCTAAAAAGGAAAATCCGGTGATCAGACCGGACGAAAAATTAACCACCGGAAATCTTATTTCATGGTTGTTTTTTTTCTTAAAATTTTGCTGGTACAACTTTACTAAATAAAGCAGATATTTAACTATAGATTCAAAGGCTGATTAGAGCAAATCTGATAGTGGAGAAAAATTGAAATTCGTACTTATTACTTTGCATTTTTTGAAACAGGAAGAAAACAATAAGGAAGTAATAAAATTAAGCTTAACTTTTAACAATTTACATATTCTAGTCACTTGTACATTCATAAGCGGACCTCAAATCAAAGCATTAAATTTTGGCCATATATCATGGAAATAATAAGCATACAAGGTCAGGAGTTTCATCCCTAATTTCAATTGCACTTATTCGACATGAAATATTCCATAAAATTCACTGTGATTTAAACTTGCTGAGTTTTTTTTGCGAAATGGTAAAATAGAATTTGTGGATTAACAACCGGTAAAGATGGAGGCATTGACTATTTTGAAAGTCGAACCTCAAAATTGATCCAAAATGCGACTGTGATAACATCTCGAAATATCATTCCGATTTTTCGAGCAGCGTTGTGCCATTTTTCGAAGAGTTTTAAATTTAACTGAGCCTCTACACGTTCTTTTTAAAAAATGTATTGCTTAAAATAATTGTAATTATCAAATGACTAAATTATTTAAGTTGGCATGGTTGAAAAAAAATAATTTTGAAAAGAGGCTAAATTTGAAACTTTTTAATTACTATTTTCCATAAATACGTGTTAAAGCACCGACTATTTTTAAAGCAATAAAAAGTTGGAAAGTGAGTAAATTTTAAATTTTGTACCTGAATGTGAATCCCATCTGGATGCGAACTCCAGAAGGCATTTCGGCAGATTATGTAATAGAAGGTGCTGTTTTCACTTAATTCCACCTTTCAACAGACAGGCATGACAAAGATTAGTTGAAATATGGTTAGAAAATAGGCTTAATTGTGAGCTCGCCCGTGCTAAAGGAATTTTATTGCTCACTCCTAGCTAATCTGGACTTCTCATTGGTTTCCCTTATCTAGCAAATCATAATTAGCCAATCGGAAGCGCCGATCAGTGATTTCATGTTTAAAAGGAGAATTTTCGCATATTAATTTCAATAATATAAATATGCACACGGAGTGTTCTCCATTTAACTATGCTACTTTTAATCATAAATACAGATTGATAGTATCATCTATATTAGATATTAATGAAATAATCATCAAAGAGTTGTTAAACTAATGTATTTACTTAAATTGAATTGAATACAAATAAGCCCATTCCAAAGTTAATTAAAACATGTTTACCATATTGCCGTTTTAATGAGATAAATACTAAAACCTACATTTATTTATTTAAGGGTGAAAAAATGGATTGGTTCCAAGAGCAGCGTAGTTGGGCATTTACTAATTCGTTCATATCCGCAGCGTCTTAAACTTCTTTTTAACGACTAAATTGAAAGGTCTGTTTTAATTAACAAAGGTAGCTCTATTATAAACGAAATTCCTTTATTTTGATCTTATCCATCTTGAATGCGGACTCACAGAATTTTTAAATTTCTCTCAAAACGCCACCGGATAAATCATATCTTTTATCTAGAGTTATTTAACCCTATAGTCACGGTAAGAGAAATAAGACTTCCCGTTAGATTTCAATGCTTAGAAAATTTGCTAGTGGCCATATGAAAAATTCCCGTGGTTCAGGTAATTTAAAAACAGTCATTATTTTGTTATTTTGTACTCAAGAAATGAGGCCTTCACTCATATTTAGAAGTTTCTACTGCTGGATATATTTGGAGGACATAATGCATTCAGCTGACGAGGCAGAAAAGTACTTTTATAAATTGTTAGACAAATGTTCGCATAGTAATAACATTCTACCATCATTGTTTCTTGCAATAATATGCTATTTCAGTTTTAATCATCTTTTCATTACAATGAAGTCCTATCAAAGTCCGTAAAAAGTTTGTTTAACCGAAATGATCAAATGTTGCATTAGTGAGGGCGGAAAGGGTTAAGCAAGGAAGTTTATCAACAGAGTAGAAAGATGAAAACAGAACTAATGTGGACATCTTGAAAGAGGAAAAATGCCTCCAAATGCGTATGCCTTTTCTCTAAATCCTTCCATAAGTACGGTAGATGCTAGCATGGTTGTTAGTTATTAAAAATATCTATTTGCACATAACTCTACTTTAACTCTCCCTTACAATTTGTTTGCAGAATAAAAAGTTTCCAATAGTCTGAGTTTCATCATTTCTTTCTTCGGCATTTGAGATATTAATATCCTTTATTAGTTTGAATCTTTCCGTTCACTTCCTTATTGGAAGCAGACATTATTTGCGGGTTTTGGGGTTTAGTGCATGTTTACGTAATACTATATCCGGTTGTGCCTTATCAATTTGCACTATCTTATGTCTGAGTCGTCCGGTCCAGCACGATCAGTTCTGAATAAAATATCCATATTAATTTGTATGGCAAATAATGCAGTTCTTCCACGTTAAGATCGTTTGCAAGTTGTTGTTGCATTCGAGGTCAATTTTGATCAAATGATTTTAGCTGAATGAACCCGCATTAATGCAGTAGAGTAAACAAGTAAGATTATATGCTGACCTCTTCTAAAACATGAACTTAGAGGCTTATGGATTAGAATAACATGAGGAGGATTTGTGCATACGTAACAACTTTTGATTTTGAAGTTCTGTCAAACATACAATTCCATCCAGTGTTATGCTCGAAATTTAACGCAAGTACTGAAACGTTAGTAACCTTGTTTCAATGCGTCAGTGGTCAAGTTTCAATTCTCTAGGCAATTAGGATTCTTCCCAGGATGAGTGTTAATAAACGTACTCCTAAGTGAGTCTGTTTGATTTAATAGACTGAAAAGAGGTCATATGTCGAGGTCACTTACTGGATGGGGAATAACTGGCAAATGAGACTATTTTACTAGTCGTACTCAACAAATTTTATGGATATGACGTTCATAAACTATGAGTTAATTAATAAGAGCTGCTAGGGCATTTTATCCTTTTATTCTAAGTAGGTCAATTATTTCAATAATTCCAGGTTGTGCATTGTAGTGCACTTAGATGAAACAGTAGGCGGGAAATGCTTGTCAGAAACATTTTAGGGCATTTTTACTTATAATTCCCAATCCAAATTAAATACCATTAATCAATGTTTTACATTACTTGAAATCGGAGGCCATAATCTGGCATGTTGTATTTATTTAATAAGAAAAAAATTAAAAAACTGAAAATAGACCTTATAAACAGTTTGTTGCATTTTTTTCAATAAATTCTGCGGAAAGAACTACTACCAAGGCAAATATCAACGTTTGGCCACCATTAATAAATATAGTCGCATGAAATTTTTCTCTATCTGATCATGCACAACTCGTGTTTATGACCACTTAGATAACCAATTAATAATGCAAATGAACTCAGTCAAACACAGTTAGGCATGAAAGCCTACCGAGTAAATTGGCTTCCAACAAGCCTTCCTATCTTTACCTCTTTATATATGATATAATCGATTGGACTGTTGTAGCCGTAAAGGGTTAGTGAATCACCTTAACACAACCAATCTTCAGTTTAAGTTCGGTTTTCTATTCTTTTTGAACTAGATTTGACGCTCCCACGCTCTCCTTCTCTCTAAGTCCAGCTCTCCAATCTTGACTCCACTATTATCCGCACTTAAATGATCGTCACAAGTGCGAATTTTATGCAATTCTTCTTCCTCTTCCTACCGCAGTTTGAAATGTAGCATTTCTAATCTCACTCCTAAGATTTTGTCGGGGTCGTTTCGTTCTCATACTTTCGTGCGTTTTAATTATTAACAGTACTAGTCAAAATACACTCTGCATTATTGAAAAAAGTGATTTTCAGTTTAAACGTTAAATATAAAAAACATCCGGTTATTTAAAGGGCTACCCAGAATTTTCTAGAAAAAGAAACTCGCATTCCTTCAATCTCTTTTTGGGACAGAAATAACACCACGAACTCTATAACAACACATGTCAAGAAAAAATACCTGTCATCACTGACAAGAACGCTCTTCATTTATTTTATATTTACAAAAGGTTCTTTTATGGCTTGCAGAAAAAAGTTAATTTTTATTTAATAACAGGAGTGTCCTGTTATCACTCAATTCCTAAAGAAAAATCCAACTGGATTTTGTCAATAAGTGTTAATTAGATAGGCTACTGTGAAAGATTTAACGATACATTTGCCCTGGTTACAGTGCCTCAAAAGGAGGCGACTTTGAGTCACAACTTTGCAAACCCTTTTCGGCAAGTGTTGAATAATAAAAAAATCCTCTCACAGCCAAAATTTCTTCCTCCTACTGTGTACTGATACATGTCTGTTTGGTCAGAGCTCACCGCATCGTTGTTCTACTGCTAATATTCAGTGGTGAGAACATTCGATTTCAGTGAATAGGTCATATTACTTATTAAGAGGGTAGAAGATTCCGGCTAGTCTATCTGCTGGTTGAAAAGGGATATCTTGAAACACTTGAAAATTTCCCCCTTTTATATTTTCAGCATCTCCAATTTTGAACTTTTGTTTAATAACTCGAATTTACTCTCTCTCTCTCTCTCGGAAAGTTAAAGAAAGCGCTCCATTTGCCCAGAAAATTTTTTGAAATGCCTTGTCACATTTTTCTAGGTTAGAGAATTTTTGAGTTTTAATTTGTCCACTTTTC